GCCCGATCGTCAACAAAACATCACCCGGCTCCAGGGCAGGCGACTGGAAAAAGACACCGGTGTTCGGTCGAACCGGTGGAAACAAAATCGTCACTCCCAGAATAACTATGCAAAATAACGATCTAAAGTCGAACCATTCGAGCCACAATATTAACATAAAAATGACTTTCGTTGCATTTTACAATGATAAACTTACCGAAAAGCCGTGTCATTCTCGGTCGCTAACGTCGGTATAATCCGCCATTTTATTTGAGTCTGTTTGCTACCTGACTCTGCCCGGTGACGTCATCATGTGCGCTATAGAAGGAGGTCTGTGATTCGTTGACTAAAATCGTCGATAGTGGGTCTCGTTGAAATCTCGTTACATAGGCATCGGCTCAGATGTAGGTAGGGCGGAATTAAAAAAAATCACAAAATCAAAATCAAAGTAAAATAATAAAATAAAAGGGCATTAATAACAAATATAATAACAAAGAAAATTAAAATAAGTTTATAGCCAAAATAATTAAAGCCCGTACACTACATCAGATTTTAATCAGATTGTGTTGATGTTATATGCAAATGATTGCTGGCCTCAGTTACGGAGCAGCGGTGTGCGACATCCTGTCCTGGCTCTCTGTTTACTTACCTCAAGCGCGATCAACTAGCAAACTACAAAAAAAAACAGACAAGACGTAGACGCTTCCAGCATGCAAGCGTAATGAAACAAAACATACAGTTGTAAATGATAAGTAAACTTTTTCACCTATAAATAATTTGATTTTTCATTTATTTTCACCTAAAATGCATGATTTTAACCCACACCACTTAATATGGTATCATAGTACATTATTGTAAACCATAAAACTCGACAGTTTAAATAAAACTCTTTCAAATGATATATAACTTGATGGGTAAAAGTTATATGTTACTCATGTAATTACAGTAAGTAGAGCCAATTAGAAATATAGTCTCCCAACCTGCATCTCTACCTTAAGTGTCGGAGTGTCACTGTCGGAGCTATTTACTTAATATAACATTGAATCGATTGAACTGACTAGCATACTGGGTTTATGCCTAGATTTCATGCCACTGTAATATACTTTAGGAATAGTTCTAGCTGAAAATAACAAATTGAATACAATTTTGTAACTGTATTTTCTTTTCAAATATCTGCAACTTGATACTATAAATCATACAATATATACGTAATCCATTATATACAAGATGAATTCAGAAATAATCTGGCCACGGGATATGTTCATATGAATATTTCTCCGCATTTAGGAGCAGTCAATGGAATAGTGCTGTTTTATCATTTAAAATAATCATATACAGTCGTACCGATAATAGACAACCGAGTATCGTGTTTCAGTGGGAGAATCCAGACGGCAGAAAATTGTATACAGGATATCGTTTTAATCGCCTAAAGCATATCAAAGGTTGTGATTGTGAAACATTTTCTTTTGCACTGTAATTTGATATCATGATATTCACCTGAATACGCAATTATATTTTAAAAACTTGTTGACAATGTTATTGTGGTAATTCATTCAATCAGATTAAACCATTTTCAGCAGAATTCGCCTACCTTACAAATGTCGGTTGCTATGGAAAGCTTGAACATGTCGTCTAATTTTATGTTTTCGTTTTCTAAAACATCCTGACAAAAAAAA